CTCAAATGAGTACCTGGTGCGGTGTGTAAAATCATCGCTACTGGGGAGACAAAGGCGATCGGGCGCGGCGTTGGCCACCCACCCCCTCGTGTGCAGTTGCCGGCCTTCATAGGGTGCTGGCGATCAGCACTCGCCCCAACAGTCCGTTACAGGCTACACGGGGGATCTTTGTCTTTGTGTGTCGCACGAATTATTGCTGCGATGCCAACACGGCGGCCGCTGCCGCTGGTGCCATTTGCTGCCGTGCGTGGCGCACAAGCGCAGCACAACGACAACTCAACGTCTCCCGTGTCGATAACCGAGGGTGAACGTGCGACGAACTTCTTTCGCACCGTACGCAGCCCGTCGCGCTAAACGTAGGTGCGGACGTGGCCTCAGAGAGTTCTTCCCCTCGCGTGCGGCTCATGCGGACGCCAGAACGGCGGTGTCGCCACTGCGATTGGAAAGATGTGATTAACCATGCAAAAAAGATTTAACTACACTTGTTTGGACCATCTTATTTGACAGGTTATTGATAGACAGCCAGTCTTGTTTGACCAGGTTTAGTTTTTTTCTTTTTTTCACACTTTTGTTATGTAGGCTAGGCGTAGTCACAAACCGTACCTCTCCATAACAAAGGCTCAGTCGTTTGTTATGCAGTCTATTCTTAATAAAAAGTGTGCCGTACTTGGCCCTTCCCCTCTTCAACCATTATATAAACGGAGTGGTAGCTCTTGTAATCTCTCATTTACTTGATACAGCTGTCGTGGCTGTGACGGTTCCACCTGAAGACGGAAGCTTGTGTTGCTTCCGAAACGTCGTGATTTTTATTTAATTTTACTTTAATTAATTAATTTATTTTTTATTTACGTGACTTTACCGAAAAAACCTAAGAATACTGCGATGTTGTCTCCTTCGTGGCGTTCGTAGATTGGGGGGGGGGGGGGGCATTGCGTCGTACCCCGGAGCGCGACTGCGGTCAACCCAGCGCAAACCGTGCAACACGTAACGATGTTAAATTCGGCGCGTATGATAGGTGACGTTTTGGGGTGATGGTCCTTCTTCAGAGCGGCAAATTCAACACGATCGTCGATAACGCCGCGGCCTTGAACGAAAAGCATTATGTAATATTTTTCGATTTAAAGCTTTCGTGACTGCAGGGATTCATCTTCTTGGTTCTTTCGGTAAAGTAACATAATAAAATATTATTTTATTCTGTTTCATTTTTATTATTTTATTATTTCCCTTCTACGTGACTTTACCGAAAGAACCAAGAACATTATGCAATAGTTGACGTTTTAGGTAATATCATTTTATTTTAAATTTCACATAAACAGAGAGGCGAGAGACGTGGTGTGCTTGGTGAGAGTTGGAGACTGCACTTTAAACCGTGGGGCATGATTTTAATTGAATTTTTTGTCGTGCTGAACAGTTTTTATTTTAATTGCCATTTGAAGAGTTGCATGAATGTTAATAGCCAGTGGGTAAGAGACGAACCCCTTTAATAATCAAAACGCATTTCTGTAAACTCATCTTACTGTTCTGTACGGGGAAAATCACGGCAAACACAGGAGGTTACGCTCCTGGAAAGTGCCGTGTTGGTTAAAACCGCGTTTGACAAATAACACTGATCAACAAAAAAAACATGTTTTTCTGGCCTGGACTTTTGCAGCTGTTTTAGACTAATTTCAGGGTGCTGATTCCAAATCTGATCTCAGATTTGCTCTATCACATCTCATTTTATGCTATCGGCATACCCCATTTTCATTGATTTTACCCGAAATTAACTCTGTCACTTATGATTGCAAGTTGTTGCGAGTCAGTGACTGCTTTAGTGTTAAAATATGGTGCTGTATTTTTAGGATAGTGTGTTTATAATATCATTTGATGTAGATATCCACACTTATTTAATATTTTTCTTCCGCAGTTTTTATTGAAAAATGCAATATTTGATATCTAAAAAACCTGATGTGATAGACAAAAACTGATGCCAGATTTGGAATCAGCACCCCAAAATTACATTAACACCGTTGGAAAATCTTATGCCAGAAAAAGTGTGTTGACCAGTGTAATAGACCCTATGGGAAAACTAAGGGTTGCTTTCCAGGGTTCGAATTAGCACGGTTGGCTACGTACGGCAAGAAATAATCTATGTACATACAACATTGTCAATTCCTCCCTCTTTGCGAAACTAATTCCACGTGAGTTCTGCCCTTGTTGTTGCACTGAAGGATGCTGAGTCTCAAGACTCCTATTCAGGAGGGTCCTGCTACATTGGAATGTTTGGCCGTTTTCGTGTCTAAATACTGAATCCAGGCAGACGAGTTTCTTCGTGGCGCGGCGTGTAAACATCGCCAGCTGGAGAGACAAAGGCGGCCGGGACTTGTTTTTTTCTGGCCACCCACCCACCACCTCGTGCCAGCCTTCGTAGGTGTCCGCTCACGGCACTTTCCACCATCAAGTCATTAGGCTATAGGGGGGGGCGATTCTTTATCTTGACGGGCAAAATCGTAGAACCCCGAGATCACTCAGCACTCTGTCGGTCCGCCACGCCGACTGATTGTGATCGCGAACCCACTTGCTGTACTGCCATCTCCGCCGACCCCCCACCCCCCCAACCACCACTCCTCAAGCGAACCGAGTGGGTTTGAAAATCTAACAGATCTCTACGTGATCCACCAACCCTTGCCCCCCCCCCTTTCAAACGTGCGTCTACTGACCCGGGTACCCATTATGTAGTGAACGAAGAGTTGACGGTGGAGGCGTTGTACAGCAATACCCCGGCTTAGGTCGGGGATGCGTTCCTGAAAGGTGCGTCGACGAATATCGAGACGACGTCAATCATCGACACGATTTGCCGGGTAGTAGTAGTGGGTGGTGGTGGAGGTGGTGGTGGTGTTGGTGGTGGTGGAGGTGGTGGAGGTGGTGTTGGTGGTGGTGGAGGTGGTGTTGGTGGTGGTGGTGAGGTGGTGGAGGTGATGTTGGTGGTGGTGGAGGTGGTGATGGAGGTGGTGGAGGTGGTGGAGGTGGTGGTGGTGGAGGTAGTGGTGGTGGTAGTGGTGGTGGAGGTGAAGGTGGTGGTGGTGGTGATGGTGGTGGTGGTGGTGAAGGTAGTGGTGGTGGAGGTGGTGGTGGAGGTGGTGGTGGAGGCTGAGAGGCGACGGGGATGACGAGAAAGGAACGGAGGACGACGTCGTCAGCGACGTTGAGCGCCGTGGGGTCGAGTCGCGGTGTTCATAATCAAAGGGACGACGTGTTCGCGAAAACGACGTAAAACTGGGGGGGGGGGGGGGGGGGGGGGAGCGACGTAAATCGGGATATCTCATCTGTTTCTTGCTATTTGCCATGCGATTAGAGCCTCAGCAGCTCAGAGATAAGAGATCCGTGCCTTGTTGGTGGTGGGGTCTCCCTTTCATGGTGTTCTCACTCGCTCACATCATCATCATCATCGTCACCATCGTCGCCGTCGTCAGTAACATCACTTACGTAAATACAATCATTGACATCATCGTCGTCGTCGTTGTCAACATCGTCACCACCGCCATCATCATAATCACCAGCATCATCGGCGTTAAACACTGGAAGTAGCTTATCTCACGAGCGGTGTGTTTGTCTCTGTGTCTTTGTTATTTGTCCGTGTGTACTTCTTGTTTACTGGGGAGCGGTAGTGCAACGGTTAGCGCGCTGCGATTGTGATTCCCACAGACGGCCAACAACACCTCCCCTAGGTCGACTCAGCCTCAAATGAGTAAGCATCGCCACTAGGGAGACAAAGGCAGCCGGGTGTGGTGCTGGCCTCCATATGCCCTCGCCAGAGGTCGCAACCGGGTACCCGATACCTGTACCCTACCCGATACCCGGCTACCCGTACCCGGCCGGGTACGGGTACAGGTACCCGTTTGTGACCCTGGTGCGGCCGGGTACGGGTAGGCCGTGAGTCACTGGTGAGTAACCGTTTGTCACTCATTCCCCAACGTCTTGTCTCTTCTCACAATTCTAGTTCCTAGAACCAACCCACCCACACCTGCAACATGGCTTCATCCCAGAGGTCGCAATCGGGTACCCGATACCCGTACTCTACCCGTACCCAGCCGGGTATCGGGTAGGGTACGGGTACGGCCGGGTACGGGTACCCGTTTGCGACCCTGGTGCGGCCGGGTACGGGTACGGGTAAGGAATCAAACCCCGTTTGCGACCTCTGGCCCTCGCTAACGGTCTGCCAAGACTCTACGGGGGGAAGCTTTGTCTTGACAAACAAAGGACCTGCCCGGGTTACATGTTGACGCCATCAAACACTCCTCCACCTTCCCTCCGACTTCCCACGAGTGAGGGGTCAGTTGCGGAGGGAGTGGAGAAGTGTCCATACCGGGGGGGGCAGTGCACTTGTGACCCAGGTCCGGCTTGAGCAGGCGAGGTCTCGCTACGCATCAGTCGAACCCGTGGCTACCACGCGAAAGTTCGATGTCGTCTCGGCCACGGTAATGTGCCCTCCATTCTCTACACTCGTGAAACGCGGAGACCTCTAAATGCAGCGGTTCTCAGCCGTTACTGCAGCCTGCGTCCCATTGGCCTCTCAAGAGTTTAAACGTGCACGATGTTCATGGACACGTGGGATTTGATGAAACAAAGTAGTTGCACTTACCTTCTGAAAAAAAAAATAATCTGGCCACGTCTCGCACCCCCAGAAAGGGCATCTCGCACCCCCCAGGTTAAGAAGAAGAAGAACCACTGCTCTCAAGGAACATCTGAATAATTAGAATTTAATAAATTCCCAGCAGTGTTCCGGGCAAACCCGGACAGGTGGTAACCCTGGTGGGAGGGCCCTTTTTTGCCAAATCCACCCCCGCCCCTCCCCCGCCCCAACCCTGCCCCTCCACTTTGTTGGGGGGGGTGGCCGGGCGTGGTGCTGGTCACCCGGCCCCCTCGTGTGCCGTGCCGGCCTTCATAGGTGCTGCTGCTCGCTAAAGGGGAGGGAGGGAGGCGATGGCGGCGAGGAAGGGAGGGAGGGTCGCGAAACTCACCGGACTGGGAGAGGTGACGCCAGGAGAGCACGGGGTCCGGGCGGCCCGTGGCCACGCACACCAGGGTTACGTTCGAGCCCTCGCTAACCACGACGTCACTCGAAATGTTAACGATCTTGGGTGGGACTGCGGACACACAAGTGGGCATCTGTGACATGCCCCCCCCCCGACCCCCCCCCGACCCCCCCCCCGACCCCACAGACACCCCCAACGACACACACCCACACACACCCACACACATTAACACACACACATACAGACGCAGACACACATACACACCACCACATACAACAACAACCGCAATTCGTCACTCAGTGGCGGTGACGTCACCACGACGCTTGTGCCAGGCTATGTGCACCTTGAGGCCACGTGAAGTGTCGAACGCCCGCTGGCAGGAGGTCACGGGGCAGACCCAGATACCACAGGTCGACTGACTGAGACGACTGGCTGATGCACCACCTTTGCCCCCTACTGTGCCAACTTTCTGTGCTTTAGCAACCCGGCGCTCTGCTCGTTGTTGTGAGCGTCGCTCCTCCGCCCTCCGTTGTTGTTGGAGGGCGACTGCCTCCAACTGCCCAGTAGCGTCCTTCACGAGCCTCCTCCACAGAGGCCGATCTTGACACCGTTGGTACCAGTCATCGGCAAGTCCACTCAGCTCCACATCCTCCTGTACTACATCACTCCATCTCTTCTCTAGCCCGTGCAGCGCCCGTTTAGCCCCCTCGATCCGACCGAACAAAAGCTGTTTAGGCATGCGGTGGCTGGGGGAGTCATCCCTTGACCGCACCCGGGCATCGATCAGCCTCCCATTGTATCTGTACCAGATGGAAATTCCTCCGTTACAGCTATTGAAGGCTTCAGGAACTACGTGGTCGAAATAGATGTTAAATAATGTGGGAGCCAGAGGATGTCCCTGTCGCACTCCAAGGTGAGCAGGGAATGGCTCCGACTCCCAGCCAAGTAGTTTTACCCCGCCCCCCTCACCATCATGAAGGTCCTTAATGATCGTGAGCAGAGGGTCAGGGACTCTGAAAGCACGAAGAACAACCCAGAGCCCAGGCCTACTTATGGTATCATAGGCCTTGACCAGGTCAATAAAGCAGAGATGCAGGTCTTGTTGGAATTCCCTACACCTCTGCTGTAGCAGACGGACAGAAAATATGGCATCTGTGTAGGACCACCGTTTCCTGAAACCGTATTGGGGCTCCGCAAGCCTCTCCTCAGCGTGCCTAGCAAGGCAATGTTGAATAATCCTTGCCAGGACCTTTCCCGGCACACTGAGGAGTGAGATGCCCTTGTAGTTATTGCAGTCTGTGCGGTCCCCCTTCTTAAAGAGGGGGACCACCAGGGCATCCTTCCAGTCCTGCGGAACCCGTCCAGTGGTCCAGACTGTTGTTATGATGTCATGTAGGGCAGTCTGTGCACAAACGCCACCTTCCCTCAGAATTTTTCTTGGGAGATCATCTCTGCCCGGTGCCTTTCCTGTTCTCAGACTTTGAATCGCCTTCAGCGCTTCATCAACAGATGGCACCTCAGCCAGCCACTCACAGGGGGTGACTTTTTATTCCAATATTTAAGACACCGCAGCCTCAGCAGTGTCCTAAACCTCACCCATTTCCCCTTGACATCTGGAGGAGTGGGGGACGATGCCAACCCCAGCCGCAAGCGATGATGAAATTCTCGCTTGCAATTTTCATCAGCTAGTTGAGACTTGGCCACTTTGGGTTTGAATGGGGTCCTGGGTGTACACCCACCACCGGAGTGGAAGAATGGCAGGCGCATCTTACAGATGACTAGTCGATGGTCAGAGGGCAGATCAGCTCCACGGTAGATCATGGTGTCAAGGACATGGGCCCGCATCCGCTGTTCCATCAATATGTAGTCCAGCAGATGTTCTTGCTTTGACACGGCATGCATCCTTGATGTTGTGTGGATGCGCGGATGCCGGAACAGCGTGTTGGTAATTACAAGCCTATGGGCTGCACAAAAATCTAGCAGCCTTCTACCATTGTTATTGAACTGGGAAGGCGAGCCCAAAGTAGCCTGGGGCTTACCGTTTCCCACACCTCACCGTCACGTTCCCACGCCCCCTTAGTTATTTTGTTCAGAAGAAGAGCCACTCCCTGTTGTTTGGCAGTCTCCTGCCACCATGAGTAGTGGACAGTCCTCTACTCATGGTGACAGGAGCCAGAGCCGGTCCACCGGAACTCCTGAATACCACAGAGACCCAGGCGGTACTGGTCCAGCTCCCGACAGAGGAGTGGCAGCCTCTCCTCCGCAGTGAGCGTTCGAACATTCTACGTGGTCACTCATAGTGTTTTTTTGTTGTTTCTGGAAGAGCCCCGAGGGTAAAGATTCAGTCTCCTGGCTCCGCCAAATGGGGTTTGGCCAGGAGAAGTCATAGATGCCATTCCCCCCGGGGTCTCCGGCACCAGCTTAATTAGATATTTTAGACGAGGTTTATTGGTAATTAATTGAAGGTGGAGGGATTACCAGCCCCTCGCACCCGTCCAGAGCCCCTATTTGGGTGCTGTGGTGGTTACAAATGCAATGAGGGGAATGGCCAATCTAAATTGCCCCCCCCCCCCACCCATGGCACTGCTCACCACAGCGTTGCCGTCCGACACCAGCGAGGAGGTAGGGGGTTGTTTTTTCCGGACTCTCACACACATTCACATACACACTCACCTACACACTCACACACACACTCTCACACACTCACACACACTCTCAAACACACACACACTCACACACTCATATACACACTCACACACACACTCACACACTCACATACACACTCACCCACACTCTCACACACACACTCTCACACACTCTCACACACACTCACACACTCACATACACACTCACCCACACTCTCAAACACACTCACCCACAATCTCAAACACACTCACCCACACTCTCACACGCTCACACACACTCTCAAACACACACACACTCACACACTCACATGCACAATCACACACACACTCTCACACTCACATACACACTCACCCACACTCTCACAAACACACTCTCACACACTCACACACTCACATACACATACACACTCACCCACACTCTCAAACACACTCACCCACAATCTCAAACACACTCACCCACACTCTAACACACACACTCTCAAACACACACACACTCACACACACTCACACACTCACATACACACTCACACACACACTCACACACTCACACACACACTCACAAACACTCACACACTCACCCACACACTCACATACACACTCACACACTCACATACACACTCTCACACACTCACACACACACTCTCACCCACACTCTCTCACACACACTCACACACTCACATACACACTCACCCACACTCTCACACACACACTCACATACACACTCACCCACTCACACACTCACATACACACACTCACATACACACTCACACACTCTCACATACACACTCACACACACTCACACACTCATACACTCACATACACACACTCAACCACACTCTCAAATACTCACCCACACACTCACATACTCACCCACACTCTAACACACACTCACACACTCACATACACACTCATCCACACTCTCAAACACACTCATCCACACTCACGCACACTCTCAAACACACTCACCCACACTCTCACACACTCTCACACACTCACACACACTCACACACACTCACACACTCTCACACACATTCTCACACACACAGCCCCTGCACAGAAGACAGATTAGTTCAGCAGCAGCAACAACAATAAAACAACAACAACAATAACAACACATTTCACTCGCCGCTCTCGTCACCCAATTAAAGGCAGCCACTTGTCGCTGATTTGCATATTCGATGCACGCCTTCAGCAGGAGCGCTAATTTGGATGGTGGGTGGGGGGAGGGGGAGAAAAATCCGCACATGCGAATGTCGCGGATGATCGATTGCTTTTCTGTATCAGCCACAAAAAAAACTTCAGGGCCACGTAAATCAACCGCGCAGACTAAACAACAACAACAACAAAATAAAGTATTTAAAAACAAAGTTTTTAAATCCTTTATATGCGTGGCGGCTTGAGTCCTCTCGTCCTCTGGCTTGAGATGGCTGCCACCTATGGGTCAGATGATTGTCTGCAGTATTAAACAATTGGTAATTAAATATAATATTTTTGTCCTATAAAGTGTAAAAAAATTTCACGAACATTAATTGTCACGCACAACGAGTCTGTGTGCAAAATGTCAGCTCGATTGGATCATGGGAAGTGGGTTAAAAAACGACCGAAAGATTTACACAGTCGTAAGCAAGCAAGCACGCAAGCACGCAAGCAAGTGATCTTAATATAAAGGATTTAAAAAACACCCTCACACCGGGTGGGGAGGAGATGTCCTCACGCAGCGCATGAACGCTCCACAGCTCAGCTATGAAGCTCGTCGTTCACAGGCGTCCAGTGTGGTTCACGGGTGCTCGGCGCAGGTTCGGAGCGTGCGTTCATTGACTGTGTGCTTTCACATCTGCAGGAAGTGATCGCGTCTTTATCCTCCAAACGAGCTCCCTGAGATCTTTGGATCGACCTCTCAGCTAAGTAGTCAGAGGTCGATGCTCATTGCCTACAGGGGTGACCGGGCTTTTGTATTTAAGGCCCTCTTGAAAACATATCCCTTTAAACCGCCTGTACCCCCCCCCCCCCCAGTTTTGGCTGTTTACCCTGGTTCTAAGCGAGTGGGTGAGTAAGTGAGTTGGTGAGTGGGTCGGTGAGCGGGCGAGTGAGTGGGTGGGTGAGCGAGTAGGCGAGTGAGTCGGTGAGTGAGTGGGTGAGTGAGTAGCTGAGTGGGTGAGAGAGTGGCCGTGTGAGTGGATAAGTGAGTGGGTGAGTGGGTAAACTGGCCTTTAACCCGCCCCACTACCTAGTCTAGATCTAGACGGGGGGGGGCACGTGGAGTGCTGGGGGGGGGGGCATGGGGGGCATGGTGGGGGTGGGGGGCAAGGTTTGTGGGCCACGACAACTTCCGTAAAGATGATCCAATATAAGCCAAAATAATTATTAGAAAACCCAGCACCAGCGCGAATGGATAGGGCTATCTTGCAAATACGCAAACGCGTTTTGTCCCGAGAAAACCCCCACAACGAACTGCTGAAGATTAAG